CACTCACTTTCTAGCTCGATGCTGTCGACTCCGTTCCCTATCCCTCCTTCCATCTCCATCCCCATGGTTTCCATGGCGATGCCTCCTCTGCCTCTTCTCTTGGCCCTCCTCCCCTTCTCCTCCTGTCTCCCCTCTGCTGTGGTGTTCTCTGTGTCTTCTCCCTCGATCTTCATCCCTCCTTCTGTGCTGGTGGTGTCGGGGTCGCCTGTGCTCCCCTGCGCCCTCCATGTCCTCGCCTCCTCTCTGGGCACAATCGCAGCCTGCCTCCCCCAGCTCTGGGTGGTGTAGGGACTGGCGGCTGGAGTGGTGGTGATGGTGATGATGATGATGATGACTGTGATTGTGGTGGTATCGGGACTGGTGCTGCAGGTTTTCGTCACCCCGCTGCTGGTTTAGCTCCTGGGGGTTTGGTTCACCCGGTCGGGGCTTGTTGGTATTGTTGTTGCGGTTCTCCTGAGGATTAACTAGTAGTGGGCGGTCCAAGTGGGTCTTCATGTCAGGACGGTTGCGGTAGTTCATCTAGAAATACAAAAAGTTGATTTGATCAATACATCTAGGCTTAACAGTTAATAAAACTGACATACATTTAATAAAAAAAAAAATTTCTTTCCCAAGAAAAAGGACAGGAAATCAAAGTTGACCCCATTTGCATTCTTATTGTTACAAAATCTTTTTTTTTTTTGTGTGTGAACTAGGAAAAGCACTGATATTATAAATTCTGGTTGATATGAAACAATCAGTTACACCTAAAATGTTTAAGTTACACCTTAAAATTCTATATTATTTTGTCTGAACAAATTAAAAATACAGCAAATGAATTTAGGCATCACACCATTATAATGTACAGTATGACAAATGGATATTTCAGATTTGTTAATGATTTAATAATAGTGTTTTTATTAATATTTAGCATTTCCAAAAAAAATTCCTGTGATGGCGAAACTGGATTTTCAGCAGCCATTACTTTATAAGTCTTCAGTGTCACATGATCCTTCAGAAATAATTCTAATTTCTATGCAGGAAATTTTTTTTCTTATCATTTATTATTATTTCCTATAAAAGGGTGTATTGCTTAATATTTTTTGTGGAAACGGTGATAATTTTTTTCAGGATTCTTTGATGATTAGAAAGTTCAAAATAACAGTATTTATCTGAAATATATATGTTACCCGTGCTGGCAAAATGAGTTGGATTACGCACGGGTTAGTCATGAGCTACAGGCAAAACAAGTGAAAAATGTCCATTTTGGTCGAATTTGAGGTTTTCACAAAAATGAGTTCATTAAGCCCTCGTCTAGCAATCCCAATGCTCCACATAGTAATTAAACATCTAAAATTATCTTTATTTGTATGTTTTCTGAGAGGTCTACTTTCTTTGTTTTAGAAAGTTGTGTTTGTTCATCGGAAGCATTTGATTTCAGTTTTGAAAGGAACATGCAGGAAAGAGAAAATAAAGTGTGGGACTTGATTGATGTTTAAAGAGTTATTAAGAGCGAAAGCCATGAAAATGATCTTACTTGCGCTGACTGACACATCCAAAGCATGCGCACAAAGCCTCTCAGATATACACATACACACAGAATTACAGTATTTAAAATATCTGTCTTGGCAAGTATTCACGCAAACATAATCTGTAATGTCTTAAGTGAACGTTTGGTTAACTGTTGGGGAATTGTTCTGACACAGTGTAACTCTGAGTTCTTGTCATATTTTATTACCATTTTCTAAACTATAGCGAATAAACTGTGTCTGAATAAATTTTGGTTTGACTGTATCTATTTGATAAATGAAGTTAACCAACTAACATTATACATACTCTTTTGGTTTCTGTACCCAATATTTAAAAAATGTACAAATGCAACAAAAATATTGGTATCGGTACTCGGTATCGGCAAGTACCAAAAATAAAAGTATCGGTATCGGGCGAGTACTGGAAAAAGTGGTATCGGTGCATCCCTAGTTGCTAGGTGATTTTGTTTTGGAACTTTCAGAAAACTTTAACTAGATTATTCTCAAAATTGACTTTGCTGACTATCAACTTCAAACAGGTGTACAGTAGCTCAGTCATTTTTTTGTCTGATTCCAACAAATCATACATAATTTTGAAGGTTTTTTTGATAGAGAATGTGAAAATATCAATAGCTCATTTTGCTCATTGTGACTCATTTTGCCAGCACGGGTCACATATATTTTTTGCAATAATGTAAAAGTTACTGTCTCCTTAGATCAATTAAATGCATCAATGCTGAATAAAAGTATTATTTTCTAACTTTCAGAAAAAGAAAACAGACCTTACATGACATTTGACAATTAAATGATAATTTTGTACCTTTAATGTGGGTAAAGGTCTTTTGTTTTTGTCTAAATTATCATTTAGTTGATTTTTATTGTTAGTTTTATAGTTTTTGTAAAATAGCGCTCTACACAGGAAATCATCACTCTCAATTTGTGATCTAGGATTTGTCTCTGACCTTCCAGTGATCTTCTGCATCAAGTTCATTGTAAAGCGCCTCTCTGCTGGTCATCAGGTTTTGTCTGCGCATCTCACTTGTGCGCTGCTCCCACACTGACTTGGAAACTTTTGAGTTCTTCTGCTGCTCTTTACTACAGAGTAAAGAAATAAAGAGAGACAGAAACAGAGAACAATTTCAACCCAGGGAGGAAGAAAAGCCTTGGATTTTTTCCCCCTAAAGCACCTATGAGCAATGACCCAGAGTGAAAGAAAATGATAGTGTCCCTTAGTCACCAGCAAGAGAACATGGATGTGGCTCATGAATTCTGTGAAGGGAGTGATGACATACTGAACAATAGCATTGAGGCATGTTCAGACAGACAGATAGAGAGAGAAAGGCAGAGATGGATCGAGATCAAAACAGCGAAACAAGCAGCCCTGTGCCTGCAGTCCTGCTGTGGAAGAGACAGTGTGTGTCATCACAGCCAATGATACCTCAGCCTCAGTGTTACAACACAAAACTGCAGCTACAGCAGCTGGAAACATAAAAACACCCATACAAAAACATGTGTAAGGCGGAAAGCAAAAGAAAAAGGGATACAGAATGAAAAAAATGAGTAAGTAAATGAATAAATACCAGTCCAGCAAACTGTCTGTGGCATCGATACGTTCAGATTTTACTGTAACTCTGAGGAGAGGGGGTGAAACAAGGAACATAAAAACAACGCTGCCACAACTATCACAGAAAATAACTGACAAAGTGAACAGGCTACACAGTGACTTTCTTGATTAGTCAAATAAGTTTAGGGATAACCTGGCATAAACCGGCTATTTCGCTTTTCAAAACAAGCTTCCAGGGTGAAATATCTGACTTCTTAAACCTACTTGCTGGCAGAACCAAATTGTAGGTTTGTGCCAAATAATTCTAAAATTGATCTGACTAACCATGATTTATTCACTAAACAAAATGGATTTATGCACTAAAAATCTTCACTATAAATGTGTAATACCATGACCGGTAACACTTTATAATAACTTTCATTAATAAATCATTAACACATAGCATGCGCACAAAGCCTCTCAGATATACACATACACACAGAATTACAGTATTTAAAATATCTGTCTTGGCAAGTATTCACGCAAACATAATCTGTAATGTCTTAAGTGAACGTTTGGTTAACTGTTGGGGAAAAACATCTGATGTGTAACATTATATTAGATCCATGCGTTACAGTAGGCCTTATTACATAGGTCGTCTGTCTCAATGTTAATCAAACAATAAAAGAAAAGAGGAAGTCACTCAGTGCTCTTGATTGAACTACTTTATTTGTAATGAATACACTAAAGACTATGCAGTGATTTTTACATTTGATTATCTGTTCTGATTCTCTTTAGATGTAAAATGAAGAAAGTAAAGCACGGTTAATTTAATTTGTTTCTTTCTTATATTTTTCTACTGTTTCTTTGTTTTACGGTTTATTTGAACATATATATTTCCTATAGATTTTTGTGTGCCGAATTTGGTGGTATTACCAGAGATTTTAAGGTATGGTTGCTAGTAGGGATGCACCGATACCGATACTGGTATCGGTATCGGGCCCGATACTGGTCTCCTGTACTCGTACTCGTACTCGTTAAAATGCCCCGATACCAAACGCAAATGGATTTATGCACTAAAAATCTTCACTATAAATGTGTAATACCATGACCGGTAACACTTTATAATAACTTTCATTAATAAATCATTAACACATATTATATAATGCTTAACAGATCATTAGTTAATATATATTCACATATCTAGAAATATGAGATAATATGTTTACTAATGCACTTATTAATCATTATCTGATGATTAACAGATCATTAGCCCCTTTCACACAGTCATTCCAGTAAATTGTCGTAAAATTACCAGAACGACTTTACCGGTAAATACAAAAATGCACTGTTCACACAAGCAAGGACGTTTCGGCTTTTTATCGGTAAAGCACCATTCACACATCTGTTTCAAAATACTGGTAAATTCTGTGACATCATTAACCAGAAATAACCTCTTAACGGCTGTGCCTCCCAGTGTTGTGTTTGTAAACATACGCTGTCAGTGTTTTTGTTAATGTTTTCATTTTTGTGTCAAACGTTCACATTCATGCAGCTGCTTTTGGCCCAGAGACATCGTCATTAGTACCTTTATGAGCAGTCATCTCGATGGCAAAATGTGACCCTAATGACCTGAATTCACCCTATTTTACACATTTTTAGAAATCATTTATTAATCATTTGTTCATGTTTCTGCAATACCCAATCTAAAGTAGAAACTATTCATAATTTGTAAATGTTCATAAACATTTACTAATCTTTTAGGATCTTTATGGACGTTGGACTTTTTAGCTGCTGTAACAACATTTGTGTAAAGGGGGGTTAGTTAAGTTTATCTAAATGCTTGCTAAAGACATCACGCACATTGTAATTTGGGTGAAAAACATGTTTTTATTGCCTCAACACTTATATTAGTATACTACTGTATACCATTAAACAGGATATTCCTTGAATCATACATCAACAGGAGAAAAGAAATAATTTTTTCAAGAAATTACTTCATTTATCAAAACAATCTAATATAAACAGAATGAACCATGTTCCCTTTTAGTAATCAAAATGACCCCTGTACACCGTTGACCCCTTAACCAACCCTTAAACCTACCCATACCACCAAACCTGTCCCTAACCCCAATAGCAGCAAAAGTGTTGTACATAAACAAAAGTTTTTAATCACTGTATAACATCTGTTAAAATCATTGGTAGATTTTCAAGATGTGCATGATCATATGAATTAAAAGTTTAATGACATTTGTAAGCATTTTAATTTACATGAAATAAGAATCTGTTAATCATTAGGTAATGTTTCATAAGTTTACTAGTAAACATTATTCCATGGTCTGTCTGAATACTGGATTCTGATTGGCTGGCGGGTATGCAGTAAAACCGTTTAATGCACAGGTAGTTCCAAGTCAGTTTAATCACTGTTCCATATTAATGCGCTGCTTTAATTGATGCACACACATACACACACAGAGAGAGAGAGAGAGAGAGAGAGAGAGAGAGAGTGCGAGAGAGTGTGAGAGATCGCAGATTGCACGGCACACACACATAAACTTGTTGTCAACGCTTCCCAGTGATTTTTATTAATAAAATAGCCTAGATACGAGATCGCTACATTATATTCCTCAGCAACGATGGTAAAATGGCTGTTTCTGAAGTAATTGTTTGTAGAGAGAGACGCACAGACGCAGCACTCTCTCTCGATCGATAATTAATTGAAATACATGCTATAATTCATTCAAATAAATGTGATCTTACCGCACTATTTCATCGCTGTGTCTGATTTGAAGTAAATATTGTGCTGCAAAGAGCAATACTAGTTTTAACTTGTCTATAACTTGGCAAATGACCATGGAATAAGTGGGATAATCAACGGCTAGCCGTGCATTAAAGGATTTTAAATGCATGACGTGGAGGCAAAGAACCGCCCGACACGAAGCGGATCCCTTACTTAACAAGCAAATTATCTCATGTTTTCAGATATTTTAATATATATTAACTAATGATCCATTAAGCATTACATAATATTTGTTAATGATTTATTAATGAAAGTTATTATAAAGTGTTACCTTTGAAAATTAGACTGGATTTCCATTAAATAAACACATTTTAGACCACCAGGGGCCCGTTCTTCGTACGCGCATTGCTGATCGTGGTTCCGAGTATCGATACATAGCCCCTTTTAAACCAACCCATGAATGCGCAATTATCTCAGATAACTCAATCCAGCCATACTAATCATCAACAACAGGTGTGTTCGAAGAACCGAATTAGCCAGATCATGATTAGCGCGATTATATCATCTTGGATGTGACATTTCATCTCGGATGTAATAAGCGACATACGAAGAACGGACCCCAGGGTCCGTTCTTCAAATGTGGATTATTCAGTTAGCTGGATTTTATTGTTGGCGATTTGACATGATCCAGGATTCTGGAGTTGCTGTCATAGCAACAGTTCTGTTAGCTCAAACCCGATAGGGAGCAGGCTTATTTCAGGTAAACAGGATTAGATTGTATCTTTTGAAGTGAAGGTGATACTGAAAGTCTCAGCCACTGCTATTTTCTTACAAGTGTACTTTACTAAACCAGTAAAAAATGTTTTTAAATATAATAATTTAAAAATTATTTTGAAAGTAATTAAAATGTTGCGTAATCTATAATAGACATGACCAGTTTTACTCATTAAGAGATTTATTTGTGAAGGAATAATTATGTCATAATTTTATTGCAGTCATATTACATGCAGTTTGTCTGAGTCGTGCATTAATTTGAATGATGAGCTTTTTATAGAGATCCAGACTCACTTTTCAAATCTCAAAATGGTTTTATGATGCACAGTTAATTTAAACACATGTATATTCCCTGTGGGGAAGTTGTGGCCTAATGGTTAAAGAGTCGGACTCGTAACCCAAAGGTTGTGGGTTCGAGTCTCGTACCGGACACAACTGAGGTGCCCTTGAGCAAGGCACCGAACCCCCAACTGCTCCCCGGGCGCCGCAGCATAAATGGCTGCCCACTGCTCCGGGTGTGTGTTCACTGCTGTGTGTGTGTTCACTGCTGTGTGTGTGCACTTTGGATGGGATAAATGCAGAGCACTAATTCCGAGTATGGGTCCACATGCGTCACTTATGTCTTAAGATGGATCTTATGGATTAAGAAACTTTAATTAATGCTGTCAGTATAACAAATCCACAGCAAAATTAAATGAATTACTAATTACAATACTCTTGACATTGAAAAATACAAAGCCTGTAAAATTGATCTTAATTATATGAGTCTCTCCAACCAGCCAGTCACTGCACTGCTGATCATGGTTTCGAGTAACGATATATCTGCCCTTTCCAATGAACATGTCAACACGGAGTAATCTCAGACAACTTAATCCAGATATTTTAATCAAATTCTCTAACTTGTTTGAAGAACAAAATTAGCCAGAGATCAGTTATCAGGATTAAAAGATCTGGCATCTGTCAAATTATCTCAGATGTATTAAGCGAGGTACGAAGAACGGACACCAGATATAAATACGGCTTAGATGCATAGATTCGACCCATTTAACAGGTGCATAATTTTAAGTTATAACAGCCTGAGCTGGTGACAAACAATAACAATTCAGTGAAATAATCTAATCTACAACCAATTTTCTAGACCTCTAAACATGAAAAAAATATATAAGAAAAAAAAAAATGTTTAAATAGTCTATTCTTTTCACATTCATCTTGACTGAGGGGGCAGTTGTGTTCAACATCAAATATATTCTGCTTGATTTTGTGACATTGTGCAGCATTTTTTTTTTTTTTTTTGCTTTTCAGAGTTTAAAGATAAAGTGTATCACTGGAATGCCTGGTTAGGTCACAGTGTAAGTGTTGATTTTAATACTCAAACATACACACAACAACAAAGTAAAAACATTACTGACCACTTCTTGCAACAGAATGATGAAGTAAATGAGGAATTAAATGCCTTCACATCACATACAGATACCACACATTCAACCGTAGTTCAACTACAAATTTACCTTATAATGTGTTGTAAGGCATGCCTTCAAAACACACAATCATAATCACACAAGTTCATGGTACTTTTACGGTACGTTTTGGCCTTTTTTGGGGTTTGCCTGTTTATGCCTGTTAATGTAAGGAAAAGAGCTTAGTTCTGCAAAATATCTATTTTTGCATTCTTTGCAAGAAAATAAAGTCATATGGACCTGGAACAACAAAGTTTGTTCTTTTAATTTTTGAGTGAACAGAAATGGAAATGGTCCTAAGGGGGTTACATACTGTATGATCAGGCAAGTTTAAGCAAGTCTGCTGAAAAGTGAATTAGAGTGGATTTACTCAAATACGATGATAAAGTTAAGCTGACAGACTAAGCTAAACTCAGCTAAGCTAGACAAAAAGCATTTAAACCAGCTACAGTACCAAATCAAATTAATGTAAAATAAGGCATGGCCTCTTACAGTAATAAAGTTAAAGTGTGAACTATATTATGTCTGTTTCTGACATTAATGTGTAAGTGTATTAGGGCTTATTTGCATATATATGCATATTCATGGTTTTTACGTGTCCCGGAGTGTCAGAGGTGTAAGAATTTCACCTTTTGATCATGAATATTAATAAAAACTGGGTATGGCTACATTGCTATGGTTTGTGTGTTTCTGAACAAGCTATTACTTTTGGGCACAACACTGGCAAAAAAAAAAATAATAATAATAATAATAGTAATTGTTTGGTGATGCTATGCTAGTGGCACAAAGGTGTAAATGTAAAGATGATGATTGCTAGCATGTAGAGTAACTCACGCAGCAATAGATAGGTTGGCAGCAGACAGTGGGCTCGCTTCCGCCACTTCTTTCGCTTTCTGGAGTGCAATCTTTTGTGTTGTGGCCTCCTCTACTTCCTGTTCATCCTAGAAAATCAAAAAAACATACAGTAGTGACAGCCGCAAACAATTGTTGGGCATTAAAAAAAATTGCATGAAATTGACATGAATGGTGTATCTGAGAAAGAGAAACTGTTTTTAACCTTAGTTAGTTCCTGAGCATTGGCCAAGTTGTCCACAGCGATAGCCAAGAATACATTCAGTAGTGTGTCTGAGAGGTTAGAATTAAGAAACAACTTTAGAATGACAAGGCTTGTGTTTTATAATGTGTGTCTGTATCCTGTGACCACATCATAAGTGGACAGTGTTAAATATACATGACTGGATCTCTCAAAACACATTCAAAGGTAGTCAAAAATGAATAGTACTGCAAATTCATACTGCACAACCTCATGTGGGTAGAGTAAAGTGCAAATATGTTTGGAAGAAATAATGTATTGATATTTTCCCCCACACTTTTTAATTTAATTTAATTTAATTTAATTATATGGTATTGTATTGTATCGTGAAAACCTGACCTGTAGTAAGTTTGCTGTAAGATTTTTTTTTTTTTTTTTTTGAAAGAAATTAATACTAATATTCAAAAAGGATGCATTAACTTGAACAAAAGTGACAGTAAAGACTTTTTCCTTGTTACAAAGTGTGTAAAAATTCTATTTCAAATAAATCATTTGAACTCTCTATTCATCAAAAAATCCTGAAACAAATGTATCACAACTTCCACAAAAATATTAAGCAGCATTGATCAACATTGATAATAACAATGTTTTTTTTTGAGCCCCAAGAATAATTTCTAAAGGATCATGTGACAATGAAGACTAGAGTAATGACTGCTGAAAATTTAGCTTTGCCTTTTTCAAATATTTTAAAATAGAGAAGTTATTTTAAACTGTAATAGTCCTTAAAATATTACAGTTTTACTGTATTTATAATTAAATAAATGCAGTAGCGTATGTAGTAATGGAAATGCTTATGTGATTCTGTGTGGTTAAGAAGGATACAGTTGCCAAAGAGTGTAAGGACAATGAAGAATATGGAGAAGACCATTCCTTTGTCCACCCCTCCCTGAGACTTAATGCCGTCATACATCACTACGTTCCAATCCTCTCCGGTCAGAATCTGAGAAATACACATAGTCTATTTTAACACAAAAAAAACAGAACTCCATGCATATTTGATCCGCACACACATAAGCTTGTTTAAGTAGAATTAGCTATTTTCTTTATCTTTACATGCCTTAAAATGATATGCAGACAGCTCACTAGGTTTTAGAACAGATCTATTGTCAAACCAACATAACCAGTCTACCTGAAACACTGTCATAATGGCAGCAGGGAAAGTATCAAAGTTTGTGGGAGGAGTGCCTAGCTCAAAGTTAAACCTGGCAAAAAAGAAAACATCAAATGGTCTTTTACAACAATAACATGTTATGCATAGTGATTGGTCATTTGTATCCGAGAAACTGAATAAAGTGTTGGCAGCAGGGTGTAAATCTATACTGACTGTCCACCGAACAGCTGCATCCCGAGAAGAGCAAAGACCACGATGAAGAGGAAGAGAAGGAAAAGCAAACTGATAATGGACTTCATGGAGTTCAGAAGCGACACTACTAGATTACGCAAAGATGCCCAGTATCTGAAAAAGACAGAAAGAAATCTAGTATTAAAAACTGTGAAGAAACAATGGCACTTTTATACAAATAGTTCACACAAAAATGAAAATGAAAATTGAGAACATATTGCTTAGATTTGCAGATGGCTTAAATTTCAGTCTTTTCTTCACAAAAATCTGTCGTATTGCTTTAGAAGACATGAAATATAGTGTTTGGACTACTGCTTCTGTGCTTTCATGATGCTTTTTTGTTATTTTTAGAACTTGACAGACCCAGTCTCCATTGACTTTCACTATATGGAAAAGAACAGCATGAACATTGGGCATAACATTTTTTCCACAGGTATGAAATGATGTGAGGTTGAGAAAACTATTTTTGCTTGAACTATTCTTCCTATCTAAACAAACCCCATCCGAAGACATGAAAAATCAGCAGTGTAAACTTGTACTCGTTTCAGATCCCAGAAACAGGACAACACAAAAACTGACAAAACTTTGTGATGAACGACGCAGAGGTTAAATTAAAGCACCGGAACGCACTTGGTGACTTTGAAGATCCTAAGCAGTCGGAGAGCTCGTAACACGCTGATTCCAAAGGATGTCCCTGGCTTCACCATGGCCCAGACCACCTCAAATATGCTGCCAACGATGACCTGAAACAAGCACACAGCCAAATCCCAAAACAAATAAGGAACACTCTGAGGACTGGCTAACAAGGACTTAAGTCTGGATCTAATGTAGGTCAGCGGCTTGCGGAGGTTAAAATCAGAGGCAGAGAGAAAAAAAGCAAAAGAGAGGGAAAGTTAGACTTTAAATGGGCCAAGAGAGAAGGGCACTCACGGCACAGTCGAAACAGTTGAAAGAGGAGTGGAAATAAGGGCGCGTCCCCAGTCCGTACATCTTGACAATGAAGAATATGGAGAAGACCATTCCTTTGTCCACCCCTCCCTGAGACTTAATGCCGTCATACATCACTACGTTCCAATCCTCTCCGGTCAGAATCTGAGAAATACACATAGTCTATTTTAACACAAAAAAAACAGAACTCCATGCATATTTGATCCGCACACACATAAGCTTGTTTAAGTAGAATTAGCTATTTTCTTTATCTTTACATGCCTTAAAATGATATGCAGACAGCTCACTAGGTTTTAGAACAGATCTATTGTCAAACCAACATAACCAGTCTACCTGAAACACTGTCATAATGGCAGCAGGGAAAGTATCAAAGTTTGTGGGAGGAGTGCCTAGCTCAAAGTTAAACCTGGCAAAAAAGAAAACATCAAATGGTCTTTTACAACAATAACATGTTATGCATAGTGATTGGTCATTTGTATCCGAGAAACTGAATAAAGTGTTGGCAGCAGGGTGTAAATCTATACTGACTGTCCACCGAACAGCTGCATCCCGAGAAGAGCAAAGACCACGATGAAGAGGAAGAGAAGGAAAAGCAAACTGATAATGGACTTCATGGAGTTCAGAAGCGACACTACTAGATTACGCAAAGATGCCCAGTATCTGAAAAAGACAGAAAGAAATCTAGTATTAAAAACTGTGAAGAAACAATGGCACTTTTATACAAATAGTTCACACAAAAATGAAAATGAAAATTGAGAACATATTGCTTAGATTTGCAGATGGCTTAAATTTCAGTCTTTTCTTCACAAAAATCTGTCGTATTGCTTTAGAAGACATGAAATATAGTGTTTGGACTACTGCTTCTGTGCTTTCATGATGCTTTTTTGTTATTTTTAGAACTTGACAGACCCAGTCTCCATTGACTTTCACTATATGGAAAAGAACAGCATGAACATTGGGCATAACATTTTTTCCACAGGTATGAAATGATGTGAGGTTGAGAAAACTATTTTTGCTTGAACTATTCTTCCTATCTAAACAAACCCCATCCGAAGACATGAAAAATCAGCAGTGTAAACTTGTACTCGTTTCAGATCCCAGAAACAGGACAACACAAAAACTGACAAAACTTTGTGATGAACGACGCAGAGGTTAAATTAAAGCACCGGAACGCACTTGGTGACTTTGAAGATCCTAAGCAGTCGGAGAGCTCGTAACACGCTGATTCCAAAGGATGTCCCTGGCTTCACCATGGCCCAGACCACCTCAAATATGCTGCCAACGATGACCTGAAACACACACACAGCCAAATCCCAAAACAAATAAGGAACACTCTGAGGACTGGCTAACAAGGACTTAAGTCTGCATCTAATGTAGGTCAGCGGCTTGCAGAGGTTAAAAACAGAGGCAGAGTAAAAAAAGCAAAAGAGAGAGAGAGAAAGTGAGACTTTAAATGGGCCAAAAGAGAGAAGGGCACTCACTGCACAGTCGAAACAGTTGAATGAGGAGTGGAAATAAGGGCGCGTCCCCAGTCCGTACATCTTAATCAGCATCTCTGACATAAAGAGGCCTAGGAAAATGAACTCAGCATAATCTGTAGAAAAAGAGAAAGAGAGACAAGACAGATAAAGTTGGAGAAAAGGAAACAGAGGGTGTTTACTGACAGCAGAGAAATCCAAGAACTATTTGAGGAGAGAAATGGAGAATGGGACAGGACGTAGGCCAGATTTGAAACTATGTCTCCCATAATAACAAATGTAAAAACAAACAACTTAGGTTTACTCACAAAGGAAGTCCGACAGTAGTTCAGGCTGATCGTAGTGTACTACAGCCACGCAGAGTGTGTTGAGTCCCACCAGGCTGAGGACAGTCCAGTAGAACGCCTGAGTCTTTACAATCTTTCGAATCAAGAAACGAAGACGTCGCTCTTTCTTGCTAAATGCGGTCCCATCTCCCTTTCCGCTCTTTATGCTCCCACGAGCAAAAGGTGAGCCTAAGAATATACACACATAGCAGCACAACATCTGGCATGAATACTACAGGATCTTTAAGTATAAGCTATTATGTGATTCAAAGGACAGAAAAATTTTTATTAATCAAATGAGTTGTCTTCCTTAGGATCTGAATGATTCTTACCAACTGCGTCTCCCATGTGGTCCTCTCCTTCTTCTGGATTTAACAGGTCAGCTTTGTTTTTCTTTATGGTGGGCCTGCGACGAGTTCCTTCACACAAACACATTCACTGTGAATGATTACTGAATTTTAGGCATTAAATGGGAAAAGCACAAAACAGGAACATTCATACTGTTACCGGTGCCATCGTCGTCCTCGGCGAGTATGACTTCCTCTGTAAAAAGAGCATTGAAAAATGCTTTATTCATACTAGATTTTAAGTTTCCAATATTTTCACTTGAATCTTCTTTATGCAAAAACACCAACAGGTCCAAACTAGTCATTACATTCTGCAGGAAATAAATTTTTATTTATACACTTGTTTATGTGTTTTATGCACATACCTGCTTTACAGATCCACTCCAGATATCCATTGAGCTCTCTCTCAATCTGCTGCTGACGTTTGAGCTTGAGGAACTCGCTCCTGTTCTCCACACGCTCTCTTTCTTTGGCAAACTCACTTGGGGGGCAAGGATGGGGTGTGCAGGGGGGAAGACAGACAGGAGGACAGAAAGATACCTGTATAGTTAGCAACTTACTAAACTTCCAACATTGTTTTATACTAATGAAGGATGGATGAAATAATAGATAGAACAAAAGATACAACAGAACAATAAAGAGGGAGAAAGATATAATTATAGAACAATAAACAGATACACTGATAGAACAAAAGAAAGAACGATCAAAAGAACGACTGACAGAACAAGAGATCTATAAATAGACTGACGGAACAAATGATACTGACAGAAGGATGGATGGATGGATGGATTGAAGTCAGATAGGTAGATAGATAGATAGATAGATAGATTTAGTTAATAAAAATAAGAACAGAAGAGCAAATTACAAACAATAGGACAAATACAATAGAACAAAGATACAAATGAAATAAACCAAGTTGTTCAGTTACAGTTGGTTTATTTAACATAGTAAGAAATAATACAGAATTTGAAAAATCAAGTGCATAACGAAAACACTAAATAGTCTTCACAGAATAAATTAAATATGAACTGTGTTTATGTGAATACTCCCCACAACAGGCATTTTGACACAATTGTGTGTGTATCTGACCATTCAAGCGCAATAAAATGTGAATGAAAAAATTTGCGATCGCATGCTGTCTGAGAGTTCTTTTTCACAGCTTATTGCACTTACTAACTCTATTTAACATCAAGCAAGTCCTGCTCTTTATTTTCTCATTCATGCATGAATGCTCTTACGTGTATATAACTTTAAGTAGTAGGCTACTGTGCTACGTGGATATATTTACATACCGCAAAATAAACAATATAGCAAAATACCGTTGTCACAATATATAACGTCATACCACCCAGCCCTAGTAGATAGATAGATAGATGGATAGATGGATAGATGGATGGATGGATGGGTGCTTTTATAGCTTCCTGGTCATGACGTCATCCGCCGTGACGTCCCGTTCAGCTATTGGACTGATTTCACATGTGATTCAGAGCGTGGGTCGCAGAAGGCGTTCCCCTAGCGTTTTCGACGCAGCTCGAGTTCCTGAAGAGGAACTCTGACAGACATTGATAAACTCAGACAGACAGAATACTTACTTGGAATTCCTGACACCAGTTTTAGCGGCCGCAACACTCTGACTGCTCGCAATGTCCGCAGGTCTAATTCTGACCCCACGGAGGACAGGATACTGGAGGAGAAACAGAAAGAAAGGAGACAATTGTATTATATGCCATTAAAGTGGTTTATACAACAGCAGATTTAATCTATTTTCTGCTCTTCCATTTGTATAGAGCCATCTGTGTATCAGCAATTTTTTTCTCCAAATTAGGACATCTCCATATGTCCTAAATGTTGTCATTTAGCTACAGCAAAGTACAGTCACAAGCAGACACATTATCCTGAGAAGAGCTCAATCGCAGGTAAATAATTGATCAGACACTGCTCTGTTCTCACAACACACACTGGTCTGATCATCTGATCTTTAAATGTGAGTGTGTGTGTATATGAGTGCACCTGTGTGTCAGGTAGCACATTTGGTCAGGGTGCTGCATCCCTCTTTTAACACACACACATATATATATTTATTTAAAACCATTTACACAAACACACACACACACATATATATATCTATTTACATACATACCACCCAGCCCTAGTAGATAGATAGATAGATGGATAGATGGATAGATGGATGGATGGATGGATGGATGGAGACAAACAGATAGAAAGACAGATAGATCTTACCCCGAGAGGACACCCAACACCAGATTAAGCATGAAGAAGGATCCGATGATGATGAGGGGAACATAGTACATCCAGTTCCAGGCACTCCCTAAGGCATCATTGCTCTGTAATACACCCACATTTAACCAACATTATCATCTAGAATCAAAGTCCAGTTTAAAAAACAGAATCATAGTTAAATCATCGCCTTTAACTCGCAATTACTATTAATATTAACTTACGTAATAAAGCATAGGATGGGTTAAATGCAGAGCACTAATTCCAAGTATGGGTCACCACATGTCACCACATGTCACTTCACTTTCACTTTCATATATCCTACGGCAAAAAGGACGTTGTCGAACTGTGTGATGCCATAGTTTGGCCCGAGCCAGTAGTCAGAACACACCAACCCGTTCTGACACTCTCGAGCGGGAAATTCCTCACCACAGGGCTGTTCATCAACCATTTCGCCTGGATAATGTAAATGCACAGGGTTTTGTAAAAGGCATACAATTTCAAAGGTCAACTGTTTTTCGTTTTTTTTTTAGACAAGCGCACCTGTGATATTGTCGAAGCAGGTGCGGTGGAATTTGCCCATGTAGAACTCCAGGCCAATGATGGCAAACATAAGGATGGCCACAAATAAGAGCACGCCGATTTGCAGTAGTGGAATCATAGCCTTCATAATAGACTTCAGCACCACCTGCAGACCTGGAGAGTAATGGCACTATTGTATGTAGTGCAAAGAACGTCTCAGGTTACGTATGTAACCCTAGTTCCTCGAGGGAACGAGACGCTGCGTCGAAAACGCTAGGGGAACGCCTTCTGCGACCCACGCTCTGAATCACATGTGAAATCAGTCATTTGAGAGAATAAGTTCACGGGATAATTCATATAAACATGATTATAAGTTGATCCCTTGTCCTTTGAAATGTAACTTATAGCTTAAAGAGTTAGGAATAAGTACGTACAATGATTTATTTGCGAAATGGCAGTAATTTTCTTTAAATCTACCAGTTGCGGTTGCTTCCAGGCAATCGGATTCTCTGCAGCTTTCTCGCCTCCGCTCTGTTGCTATGACTCGTCAGGATTACAGCGCATTCTCAGTGATTTGCTGGTCTGCGGCTAATTTAATGCGCGAGGTAAGCTATCTGCAAAGCGCTTGTCCAAGCGGAAAAATGTGCTGTTGCTGTCAGATCTCGATTGCCGAAAATCACATTGTGTTTGATGTTTAGGATACTCACTCAGCATACCCAGTTAAAAAAAGTCACCGCTCGCCACTGATATATATATACAGTATATATATTTACCTCTTTTGAAATAAACATTTTATTTCCTTCATATGCACCTCAGACATTAAATATCTGAATACACTAATATATAAGCACACATTCATTTACACTCACATTCACATATATATACATACCTATGTGTGCCCATATATACATGCACATATTACATGTGTTGTGTACATAGTAAGGAGAAAAAAAAAACCTGTTATATAATTAAAAAAATAAAATTACACTTCTTTATGATTACTTTATTGTAATAATCCAGTGAGATTATTATCATTCAGTCCGTCTTGGATTACATGAAGACCAAATCCAGAAGAACTGTGGCAACATCTCCAAGACACTTCAAGAAACCTACCTGCAAAGCTACCTGAAAAACTATGTGCAAGTGTACCTAGGACAAAAACGGTTTTAAACAAAAAAGGGTGGTCGCACCAAATGTTGATTTGATTTAGTTAACTGAAGTTAATTGATAAATAAAATCTATTTATGACATTATTTTTGAAAGCATCCTCACTTTACAGCATTTTTAAACAAGTGCCTAAACATTTTCACAGTACTGTAGCTTTGTAGGTTTCTTCAAGCATCACGGAGACATTTCCACGGATCATCTGGATTTAGTCTGCCTCAGTTTGTTCTGTTTCTTCATGTAATCCCAGACAGACTGGATGATGGTGAAATCAGATCTCTGTGTGGAGCACTGGCTGTTGTCAGACTCCTTGTGCAAACAAAAATCTCACTGGATTACTGCAATTAATGGCCAAAGGAATGTTTGGAAATGTAAACTGATATTTCCCACTGACACACAACAGCAAAAGATAGAAAAATAATATATATATATATATATATATATAAATAACTAATTATAAAGAAGTGTAATTTTATTTTTTTAAATTATATAACAGGATATATGTAAATATAAAAATATATATATTGTATATTTACATATAAATATATATGTGTGTGTGTAAATGCTTTTAAATATAGAATCAACAAAACCATCTGTCTGTCTGTCTATCTATCTACTTCTTTTTCCATCACTTTTTGCACTCTCTTCTGCTGTTGCCTGTATATGCAGCGATGCCAATGTTGCTAAGAGCTCATTCATTAGTGGTTATGATATAAAGTGGCAGCCAATGGCTCAGTCAATAGGCCTTTAACTGCTCTGCCATCACATGCAGCAAACACCTACGTAAACTAAAAGAAAAGAGAAAGAATGGATGGACTTGTGCGAGACTGGACAGAATGCAGCAAACTCATCTCCTGACTCGTTCTCTAATGTCTTCTGCTTTTTCAGTACTTCCTGTTAATCCGTTCAATTGGCAAGAACACTGTGACTAATTCGATCAATGATCAGAATTATATTAGTTATTTTGTGATGTCACAATAATCTTTTGAGAATGAGATGGTGCCAACACTCAATAATAACCTATAGGATCTGTCTCAAATATTCACAACCAAACCTAAATGGAAAACTTGATCACAGAACAGCAGACCGTTCCCTCTTTGACCAAACCAAGGTTAGATACAGTATCTGGATAATACTGTCAGTAATTCATTTACATATATCTACAGTCTCACGTAACAAATACACCTATTTATGACCCATCTTGCATGATCAATAAGCCCAAAACAGATGCAAATATACATTTGACACTTAAAGAACTGATTTGAGATCAGGACTAAAGTGCTTTGGCTGCTGATACAATATCGGTTTACACTTTATTTAGTGGAACAGTGGAAACTTAGATGCGGGAAGGAATAAACTGCCTCCAGGTCTGGCAGTGAAGAACACTTTATGTACAGTAAGTGCAGTCAGGATAACAGAGCACCGCTGACTGCGCTGATATCCTACTACACACTAAAAGGCTTGCGGTAAATGGAACAGTGGACTAGCGAGTGTGTGTGTGAGAGAGAAGGAGGGAGTGTGTGCAAGTTTCAGACAGATGGAAAGGGAAAGAGACAGTGAGAGTGTGTGTATACGTGCAAAAGTTTGAAGAGAGGCTGCAGACCCTGCGTCCGGGTTAGAATAGAAAAGCGGGCCTGTCCACATCTATTTGAAATCTTTGTTGTGAACTGTCAAAGAAAGTGCCTTTTGTAGGAACCAGGATGTTATTTTGAACACAGCATTAACACCAACTGACCAAAACAGAAATAGTGAAATTTATATGATTGATAAATGAAACTTTAAATTACATTTTAATTTTTTCTGAAGAACATAATGTGAGTGTGAGTGGTGCTTGCCCATAAAAAACTATAGTTATCCAGATACAGCTGTGTGTTTGCTAAGATGTGTTTTTTAGCGCAGTGCTATTCAGTTGTCAGTTGGACAAATAGCAAAATAGGGTGGTACCCTTTCAAAAGGTACACATTTGTACCTTTACCCCTAAAGGGTATATATAAGTACTTTAAATGTATATATTAGTATCTAAAACGTACATATTAGTACCATAATGATAACTTTTTTTTCTGAGAGTATATATATAAAATAATATGTGTTTCAATAAGTAATGTGCATTTCCCAATGTTTCATACTGAATACATAGTTGAAGTGTACCCATTATTGAGAAATGCCAATAAAATGGTTAAAAACTATTAAATTAAAAACAGCAATCTTTATTCAAAATTTAAAAAATATACCATGCTAGAGTTATTTTAGAATGTTTGTCAAATTAGAAAGAAAAAAGTAAAACTGTGTTTTCAGTGCCATTTGTGATTCAGACACCCTCATTCTCTTAACTGCTCAATAAATCTCTGTATTTCTCACAGTGTTTGATGAGGTAGTCACTGCCCTCTCTCTCAGCACCAACGGGAGAGTCCTGTGAAGGGAATAAAGTGTGATTTGGTAAACTCTGGAGAGGACAGACTGAAAGACACACAATTATCCCTGAGAATGACAGAGCAACAGAGAGAGGTAAAGGGAAAGAGAAAGTCCCTCGGCCCCAGGGAGAGGACGATGACAGGGTGAGATAGAGGAAGGGAGCGAGGGATTCACAGGAGCGACAAGGCCTCCGTCTGCTGGGGAAAACCTGACAATCAATCAGAGTACACACACTGAGCGAAAGGGGTTCTCTTTTTACTTTCCCTACACCAGTTTATCACTCCTTCTCTCCTCTATTGCCCTGTAGGTCTTGTTTTTGTAACATCACACATAATAATCAGAAAATAAGCGCCTTCAAAAGACATATCATAACCCACATTTGTAAAATGATTGAGAGGTAGAGAGTATTTCCTGATTCGGCCGTTTGGGAGAAAGGGTGTGATTACGTCTTGTAGAAGTTAGTGAATGGCTAATATTGACTACAGTTTATGTGCATATATGTATGTGTTTGATTATAGATTTAGATACACATATGTGTATATGCTTTAAGAATGTTTCCAAGAATAGATTCTGTCTCGCTCATTTGCTTTAAAAAAAAAATGAAGATGAGGATGACGATCGTGGAAGCCTCTCTCCAACATCACGCCACCAGGTCTCTCCCCATTCACGGCATCACCATAGTAACCGGCGATTCCTCTTTTACGAAGTCTCCACGGTTACCAGCCTCCTCTCATTCATAACCGTTACCGCGGCAACGGGCCCTCTTTCATTGATGGAATCTCGGTATTGCCGCAGCAACCAGGCCAGAAGTAAGAGATAAAGGGTCCCCTTTCGATTGATCTCCGTTCTCTCCATCTTTTATATGGCGAGGATTCTCTGACTGACCACAGTGTCACACTTACACACAGTTTATGTCGACAGCATGAAGTCTACCTCATTAGCATGTCCTCTACGTGTTGCTCATGTTGTCTGTATGCGAGATCAACCGGTTTCTGCGATAAAACAGCACAGGAATCCTCCAGCTTTTCGTTCGAGCTGAATCTAGGTCATGCTGATACGCAGCCGAACTCTACATTATTCAATGCTGTACACTCAGGCCTGTGCATCTGGGAATACAGTGCATTTGTGCAGTACGTGAGGGTGTTTGTTTGGGGAGTGCGACAGGGTTCTGGTATCACAAATCTTGTTTCTTGAACCAGAATTTGCAAAATAGGCCTCTTGTTTGCGTCAAAGTGCTGGAATAGGTTTCTTTTTCATTAACTTCTCATATCGAGCTTCTGTGTGAGGGTTTGATCTGATCAGACTGCTAAAAGGGTTTATTTTCACCTCTGGGAAGAAGATATTACATAATTTGTTAGTATTTATAATACATTCCTTAATGGTATTCTCTTCCTCCTTGACTTGGCTTTCTTTTTAAGTCTTAGTCACTGCTAATGCAGACAATACAATTATTATTGCTCTTATTTAAGGTTATGGATTTAAATTAGCCTTTAACTCAAGGCACTTCAGGTTGGTGTGTAACCTGACCTGCACTATTTGTGCTACAGACATGAATGAAAACCAAAATCATGTGGCTCAAAAATTCAATTTTCTTTTAAAGAAATTAATACTTTTATTCAGCAACAATGCATTAATGGATTGATCTAAAGTTACAGTAAATCCTGATTCATTTGAAGAAATTCAGATTAATGAAAAACATGTATGTGTTTTTATATATTCAGAGAGGAAATAACCCCTCAGAAGGGTAAAAATCACAATTTTGGGGGCAGAATTTTAAATTCCGACACTGGTTGTTACTTAAAGGAGACATATTATGCCCCTTTTTACTACATATAATATAAGTCTCTGGTGTCCCCAGAATGTGTCTGTGAAGTTTCAGCTCAAAATACTGCAGATCATTTATAATATCATTTTGAAAATGCCTATTTTGAGTGGAAGCAGAAGCACGCTGTTTTTCGGGCCTGTCTCTTTAAATGCAAATGAGCTGCTGCTCCCCGTCCCTTTTTCCAGAATAGAGCTGCGCCATTACAGCTCAGACCTGCTAAAAACATATGTTATGGTTCTGATTATCATGTTTATCGCACTGAAATCATGCGGTTTAAACCATATGAGTTTAAACTTCTGATATACGATTTTCTGAGAGCACACATCCGAAGCACATGGTGACCGTGATTTCACCAAGTACAACATGTTCCTGGATCAACATCCTTGTTGATCCTGGAACAACATTCCAATTTTTCAGGAAATATCTGTTTTAGGCTTACGATCAGGGTTAGGTGTTTCCACACCCTTGGTAATCAGCTATCATTTCACATTATAGCACTTAAAACCTGGAAAAGTCAGATTTTCATGATATGTCACCTTTAAAGCATTCATATGCCCAGGTTTTCATGTGGCGGAGAATAAAACAAGTTAAATATCCTTTATATGGGCCAGCTAATCAATCAGAGCCCATCGTGTATTTCTGAGGGAGGGGCTTCATAAAAGCAGGAAATGATCAGCGCGTTCAGAGGAGAAGGGACAGAGCGGTGTGGAATAAAGGTAAATTATGTGAAAAATAATGCATTTTTTAACAAACGAAGCATTAACGCATGTTAGACTGCACCCCATAAACACAATCAAGCCTAGAAAAAACCCAGTCAACCACCCCTTTAAAGGAGTGACCAAGTCATATAACATTTTTTGGTGTAGGATTTACTTGGAAATGATTTTCACTCCGAAATTGCTTGTAAATTTCACAAAGAATTACAAAGAAACGGCAAGTCATGAATTAAACGTGACATCTTGAAGTGGAAAGACTGAAATTCTATTTATCAAAAATGTACTCCAATTAGGGCAGCGACGATAAATCGATGCAGAATCGATTCGTAGATCGATTCTGAGATCTTCCGAATACATCGCGATTCTCTCTGGAATTGATTCTGAGCTTAGATTTTAACAGCAGATGGCACTCTAATCTAGTTTTTAACGGCACACTCAAATGCTCATGAAGAAGAGCGCTTGTGCATTCGGCTGAGTCTGTAATTTCACCTCGGCTCAGAATGCTTTTATGATGAGATTAATGTAAACACAGCCCATTGTGAACACCCTTGTAATTCGCTTCAACCTTTTCAAATTTTATGAATGATTATTTTAGGTTCAAGTTAGTGTAAGGATTTGGAAACAAGCAGAGTACGGCTGTTTCTAAAGCATGCAGCGCCATCTGCTGTTCAAAACTAAGCTCAGAATCGACTCGAGAAAGAATCGCGATGCATTCGGAAAATCTCAGAATCGATACTGAATCATTTCTCGATTTGCGATGCATCGATTTATTTTCCCAGTCCTAACTCCAATAATCTTTTGTTTTATTTACAACTTAAAAAAGAAAAAGAAAAAAAAAATGTACAGGCAGAATATTACTCCAACTCCATAGCAATGCACCAAAAATCCTAACCCTAACCCAGAACACTTTAGCAACCACATAGCAACATAGCACCATAATGGCAAGTTTTATGCCACTCATATGTTAGAAAATGTTAAAATCTTGTTTTAGTTTCCATTCTCAAGATTTCATTTGTTTGCTTCCACTGTTCTTAACACAGCTGATGGTCACTCCCTCTCCCTCCACTCATCCTCTCCATTCCTTGTTACCAAGCACCCGTGTTTCCCCCCACAAATGCTTTTTCCTATTAGTCCCCACTTGCACTGCTACATTTGTGTTGAAAGAAAAATGAGAGTAAGAGAAACATGGAAACCTCTTCCACTCTTTACTACTGCAGAACACACTGGTGCAGTCTTTCACTATCTCACACACACACACATGTCTGGTCAGCTATCCTTGTGGGGACTCTCCATAGGCGTAATGGTTTTTTTACTGTACAGACCTTTTTTTACTGTACTTTTTTACAGTATATTCTATTGCCCTACACCAACCCTACACCTAAACCACTCACAGGACTTCATTCTGTATGATTTATAAGCTTTTGTACCCGTGGGGACCATAATTTAGTCTTAATTTTCCCCATGAGTCTGTGTGTATTCAGGTTTAAGTCCCCACCAGGATATATAAACCTGTACACACACACACACACACACACACACAGTCTCCATCCATTACTGAGAGCATGGTGGCCTAAACTGCCTCTTTCTCGCACTCACTTTCTGTTGTCGTTCTTCCCACCTGTCCTTATGTGGCAACCAGCATGTGTGTGGCCTTCTCAAGATAAAGAGCAACTTCACAGCACACACAGCAGAAGCAGAATGTTCATGTGTGTAAGAAAAAGAGATAGAGGTTTTCTACCTGTGTAAATATTGTACCACTGCCATCACTTCCATTATCATTATTGTGCTTTAGTCATTTACAGAAAGTCATCCTTTCCTTCACCTCCATATAGACATTAACCACACACACACCCTGAAACACACTTATTCTAACATCAACACACAAAAACACACTTCACTTAACGTGCATCTATTCCTGAAACACGCTTTTAACCTGGTGTCCGGTCGACACAATGGTTCCTTTAACACAGACATAACTTCCTGGACACATGTAGACACAAGCACAGAAGCTCACACTGCTATTTTAAGTCCTTTTGGAACTCTTAGTGATATTAGAGAGTGGACAGGAAATGATGCGGAGAAGCAGAAGATCAGGGTAAGAGGCAAGTCAGATTCTAACTCATGCCTTAGGAAAGAAAAACCACAAAAAAGAACTGCCAAGATACTTAATAATAGTTAAAGTCTGCTTTAAAAAAATTAATTAAATTAAATAATATAAATTATAAATATAAGTAAATATATATAAATACATATGAGCAGCAAATCTGAATATTAGAATGATTTCTGAAGGATCATGTGACACTGAAGACTGGAGTAATGATGCTGAAAATTCAGCTTTGCCATTAGAGAAATGCATTGCATTTTAAAATATATTAAAATAGAAAACAATTATTCACTATTTTTACTAAAATAAATGCAGCCATGGTGAGCATAGGAGGCTTCTGTTAAAAACATCAA